GCCATAGTCGCTCCAGGGCACGACTGTGTCGTTGAGGGTTTTGGTGTGATCAGTCTGATCAGTCTGCCAGGAGCTGGAGCGGTCGGGGTCTGATGTTGCACGTGGTTAAAGGCGCTACTGAGTCAAGAGGCTGTTGACAGCGCGTTGTTGTAGGCAGTCATAGCCAAGTCGGGGCAGGACAGGGGGAGGATGCTGTCATGGAGTTGATCAGCTGCAGAGTGGAGGGGGCAGGGTTAAGGTTGCGGAGGTTACGGCTGGTAGTAGTGTGACATTTGGAGGGGTAGGCGTTGGAGGACGAGGAGATAGAGAAGGTGATCAGGTTGTGGTCAGAGAGGGAAGGGGGTGTTAGTGAGGTTATGGGGAGGAGCGCAGCGGTTGGAGAAGACAAGATCAAGGATATTACCGTTGGAGTGGGTGGTGGATTGTATACACTGTGCAAGTGCAAAGGAGGAGGTTAAGTGGAGGAGATGGGATGTGTCTGGGTTGTCGAGGTTGACAGGGATGTTGAAATCCCCAAGGATGATGGTGGGTAGCTCAGAGGAGAGGAAGAAGGGTAGCCAGGAGGAAAAGTCATCCAGGAAGCGGGATATGGATCCAGGAGGCCGGTATATCACAGCAATCTTCAGGGGGGTTGGGGAGAATAGTCGAACGCAGTGGGCCTCGAAGGAGGAGAAGGATAGGGAGGGGGGTTTGGGAGGACTCTTGGAAGGTGCTCTGCGGTGACAGGAGCAGACCAACCCCACCACCTTTACGACCGTTAGGTCTGGGTGAATGGGTCCAGGTGAGACCTCCGTAGGAGAGTGCAGCAGGGGAGGTAGAGTCAGTGGGCTGGATCCAGGTTTCTGTGATCGCTAGGAGGTTGAGGGAGCGGGAAACAAAGAGGTCGTGGATGGCGGTAAGCTTGTTGCACACCGATCGGGCGTTCAGAGTGCACATGAAAACGGGGGGGGAGATTTTAGGGAGCAGGGGACAGATACTAAGTTGCGGGGGTTGCGGCAGGACGTGGAGGCGGGAGGGTGGGTTGTGCGGGTGAGGGAGTTGGTGGAGGGCCAGGATTCGGGGAGATGTCCCCCGCGGTTAGGAGGAGGAGAAGGGTGAGAAAGGTGGCATGGGAGCGGGATGTGCAGGAGCGTGAGAAACTACTAGTGGAGGTGTTCGGGTCAGTGGGAGAGTGGAGTAATAACATTTTATTGAATTCAATCTTAAAAAAAACATAAAAAGGTTCTTTCTACAAAATATGACAATATGGTATCAGTAAGTAAAATTGACAGACAGGAAACCTGAGTTATATTCAAGAAAGTAGTGTAACTCTGACGCATTAAAATTGGATGTTAAGAGAGCTGTGATGTGAAGCAGACACTGTAATGTAAAGAAGAAGCTGCATTGTAAAGGGGGGTTGTATTGTAAAGGGTTCTGCTGTGATGTAAAGCGGGGGTTCTGAAATGTAAAAGGGGGGATGTGGTATAAAAGGGGGACTGTGATGTAAAGGGAAACTGTAATGCAAAGGGGAAGAACTGTGATATGAAGAAACTGAGTTATAGCACAAACATGAGACTCTGACCTCTGCTGGATGAAAATTTTAATGACCAGACCTCTGTGAATTTTAATTCAATATCCTGTGCTAGATGATATCCCAACACCCATTCAAATAACAAGAACCATAATGCATATGTAGCACTGGCTACTCCAAAAACCATCATGCATTAAATGCTCCAAAGCATCCCCCAAGGGTATAAGCCACTAATATATACAGTAAGTAAAATATAAACCTCAAAAAATGCTAAGAATAAAACCAAACTCATGTATATATATCAGAGATCAGTAAAAAAGGACCTCCAACTAAATTTCCTACACACCAGATAATTGCAAATGACATTCAGTGTGTCAAAATGTCCAAAATTATAAGGCAATATCAAAGGGAAAACCCTTTTTTTTTAATATACCTACATTAGCTGTAGAGTACCAATTTGTCAGTTCACCATGGCCAGATCATCCAAATGGGAGACCAAGATGAGCAGCCCCCCTCTATATATCTGCGTTTAAATACTAACCACACCGTGATCAATTTGACTTCCCATTAATGTGGGTGGTTTTTTATTAGCCCAGCACCTGACAGAGGGAGGGAAACTCCTACCTCATCAAAGATGTACTCCGCTGAACTTCCAGGCCAACATTGCGGCGTCACTTCCGGTCAGATGCGGTCAGCTCCGATACGTGTATATGTCCCATTGTTGCTTGGCAACAGAGTCACCATACGGAAAGTGGACCAAAGAATGGAAAACAATGGCCCAATGTTTGAATAAAAGATGGTAGAAACTCAGAACATTTCAAAGGTACCAAAAAAGACCCCCACTCCATGGGGAATGCGTGTGGGAGCTATACATGCCGATGCATCACAGCGACACCTAGAAGACAACCAAAAAAACATGTATCAGCAATATACAAAACAACAACAAGTTTTTTCTTAGAATTTACATTAGATTGGCTCCTGACTTTCCAAACCTCGCCAATTAAAAAACACATTGTATTAGGGAATGGAAATTTATCAGATTTCTTTATGAGTGTGGAGGGCTTTGGTTCGGCGTTCACAACATCAGTTTGTTGATTCAGTAGAGCCTCAATATAAAACACGGTTGATCAGTCAATCGGCTGTTCCTCATTTAAAAGAGCTATTAAGTTATCAAGGGCCTTGTCATGTTTCTCAAGGGTACACTTTTGTTGGGAGTGTTCTCTAGAAAAAGTGCTTTCAAAAACTAATTTACGTGCAAAGAGTTGTAAATCCTTAAGGATTTCAAACATGTTAACTTTTGAAAAAAAAAAAAAAAAGCCTTCAAACCAGCAGAACAAAAACTAGACATGATCTCCTGTCTTCCAAAAAATAACCAAAGAAAGAGAAAATTAGAGGTGTGAATATTATCACTCGATATACCAGACAACAAAAATCTATTAGGAAGATCTTCCAGAAATATTGGCATGTCTTACAATTGGATTCTACTCTTGGCCCCCACATTGCAGAAACCCCCAAAAACATACAGTCAAGCTAAATCTATAAGAGATCATTTTAGTATGCAGTGAATTTGTAGGTAATTCTAGAAAAGGTCCCTGTAAGATCTGGGTACCTTCAAATGTGGGGGATGCCTCTACTGTCAGTACATGAATACGAGAAAGATGAGCATGAGGTCTGTAAATCCTGACCTACCTCTAGGACGTCATGATGTGAGGGACATACATGGAGGTAGATTCCCGAAGATTAACTTTCTCTCATTTTGGATTGGATACATCCAAGTAGATGAGGTGGAGACTGGAACAAACAGATGCTCCAATACGAAACGAGATAGATTGTTCTTCTTAATGCCACCTTCCTACCTGGGCTAAATGACACTGAGCTTCAAACCATTTTTAGAGCGATTTACAGGAGGGTGGGAAAAATAAATGTAGCTAATAGTGTCTAGAATTTAAAGTGTTACTAAACCCACAACAGTAATCAGTCTGTATATGCAATAAAGCATGCTTGTTATACTCACTGTGGAACCTAAGGGGTTAATCCTCTGCATTGTGTAAAAAGGCTGCTTGATCCTGACTTCTCTGATCCTACCCTTCTTCCAGTGTCCCCTTCTTATCTCCTGATAAGACATATCATGGGGAGTCACTCTGTACATGCTCAGTTTGGTGTGTATTGCTAGAGATGTCATTTTTTTTCTTGGGAGAGTGCATGTGATCAGCACAGAGCCAATCAATACTGTTCAGACAGAGGTCAGGGGTTCTGCATCCTCCTGGAGGATGCAGAACCCCTGCTGGACGCTGATAGAAGTCACAAGACTGCTCTAACTGCTCATGAGAAAAGGTATTTAGCAGTTTATATTTACTAAAATAATTGCATTTCCATGTTCTGTGTACTGTGGGAGACCAGATACAGTCAATGCAGGGTCCTGGGTTTAGTAACACTTTAAGAATTTTTTTCCCTCATTACACATATATACAGTATCTCCCAAAAGTGCGTACACCCCTCACATTTATGTAAATATTTTATTATATCTTTTCATGTGACAACACTGAAGAAATGACACTTTTCTACAATGTAAAGTAGTGAGTGTACAGCTTGTATAACAGTGTCAATTTGCTGTCCCCACAAAATAACTCAACACACAGCCTTAATGTCTAAAATGTTGGCACCAAAAGTGAGTACACCCCTAAGTGAAAATGTCCAAATTGGGCCCAATTGGCCATTTTCCCTCCCCAGTGTCATGTGACTCATTAGTATTACAAGGTCTCGGGTGTGAATGGGGAGCAGGTGTGTTAAATTTGGTGTTATCACTCTCATTCTCTCATACTGGTCACTGGAAGTTCAACATGGCACCTCATGGCAAAGAACTGTCTGAGGATCTGAAAAAAACAATTGTTGCTCTACATAAAGATGGCCTAGGCTATAGCACGGTGGCCAAGACCATACAGCGGTTTAACAGGACAGGTTCCACTGAGAACAGGCCTCACCATGGTCGACCAAAGAAGTTGAGTGCACGTGCTCAGCGTTATATCCAAAGGTTTTCTTCGGGAAATAGACGTATGAGTGCTGCCAGCATTTCTGCAGAAGTTGAAGGGGTGGGGGGTCAGCCTGTCAGTGCTCAGACCATAAACCGCACACTGCATCAAATTGATCTGCATGGCTGTCATCTCAGAAGAAAGCCTCTTCTAAAGATGATGCTGAAGCTTAAGACAAGCAGACTAAGGACATGGATTACTGGAACCATGTGCTGTGGTCTGATGAGACCAAGATAAACTTTTTGGTTCAGATGGTGTCAAGAGTGTGTGGCGGCAACCAGGTGAGGAGTACAAAGACAAGTGTGTCTTGCCTACAGTCAAGCATGGTGGTGGGAGTGTCATGGTCTGGGGCTGCATGAGTGCTGCCGGCACTGGGGAGCTACAGTTCATTGATGGAACCATGAATGCCAACATGTACAGTGACATACTAAAGCAGGGCATGATCCCCTCCCTTCGGAGACTGGGCCGCAGGGCAGTATTCCAACATGATAATGACCCCAAAGCAGGGGCGGACTGACAACTCATGGGGCCCCCGGGCAATAGGGGATCATGGGGCCCCTGTGTCCTTGCCCAAACTTAAAAAAGCCTATGAAAAAGGTACCAGAGGCATCTCATGGGGCCCCCTAATGACCCCGGGCCCTCGGGCAGTGCCCGAGTTTCCAAATGGTCAGTCCGCCCCTGCCCCAAACACACCTCCAAGACGACCACTGCCTTGCTAAAGAAGCTGAGGGTAAAGGTGATGGACTGGCCAAGCATGTCTCCAGACCTAAACCCTATTGAGCATCTGTGGGGCATCCTCAAATGGAAGGTGGAGGAGCGCAAGGTTTCTAACATCCGCCAGCTCCGTGATGTCATCATGGAGGAGTGGAAGAGGACTCCAGTGGCAACCTGTGAAGCTCTGAAGGCAGTGAAGGCAGTGCTGGAATATAATGGTGGCCACACAAAATATTGACACTTTGGGCCCAATTTGGACATTTTCACTTTCATTTGTTGCCAGCGGTTTAGACATTAATGGCTGTGTGTTGAGTTATTTTGAGGGGATAGCAACTTTACACTGTTATACAAGCTGTACACTCACTACTTTACATTTTAGCAAAGTGTAATTTCTTCAGTGTTGTCACATGAAAAGATATAATAAAATATTTACAAAAATGTGAGGGGTGTACTCACTCTGAGATACTGTATGTACAGTACATGTATAGATATTTGTTTATTTCATTCCCACTAAAAGAATTCATATAAGATTTACATAAGTCACCCACTCAATCTCAATTGGTAAACAAATTTCATGCTTGCCTTGTGTTTTTGTATTTCATTTATTTTTGTAATGTGTGTGTTATTATTTTTTTTGTCTGTGATTTTGTGTAATGCTTGTAACCATTTTGCACAATGCTTGATTTGTTCCCCACCATCGCTACTAGCTGCTGCCAGCTCACCCTCCAAGGGGTTGTGTATGTCTTCACCACCCGGCGCACAAAGGCTACTGTTTATGTGCACCAGTGGGGAGTGGGTGTGTGACGTCATTCTGCCTCAGTGGATGGGTTGACGCTGCGCGCGGACGCTTCAGGGGGTTACCTTGTCAACCAGGGCTGTGCATGCACAATATCTGCAATCCACTGCGCATGGGGGTGTCCAATGCCATACTTAAATCACATAGCATCTAACAATGAGACATTATCTGCCAGTATTTTGGTGCCATCACTAGCGCCTCTTTTCCTCAACCTGGGTGGCAGTTGCTTTGTAAGTAAGAACCCTCTAAGGGACCCCCTATGCTATCTCCCATAGGGAGCTTTGGCCACATATTGTGTTAATTTTGTTTGTTATGAGAGGTCCTGTATTGGCTTCTTGGGGATTTATTTTCTCCCCTAGTCTTTTCTAATGACTCTGTATGCTGCCTATATATCTTATGGGGATTTTTTTTATAAGGCGTACATATTTGGCTTCATTTTGGCTTTACTATTTGAAGTTAAAAACTCCCCTATGTAGAACAGTAAGCCACAGTTATATTTTTGCATGTGTTGAATTCTTGATATTGTATTAAAGTTTACACTGGGATTTTTATGCATGGGGATTTATAAAATAGATATTTTTCCCTAGCATCAACTAGCAAATCATGTGGTAATATATTTAGCTTAGGGATGGTCTCCATGTTATAAACTCTTTCCCCATATGTTTTCTCTGGGAATATAGCTCTGGGAGTATAGCCCTGGAGGCGTATGAATGACCCCAGTGTGGGATCCATGTAGCTCCCTCGTGTGGAATACCTGGTTTGGGACGCTGGCTAGTGATGCTGGTGGATACAATAAAGAAGTTTTTAATCTTTTGGCGGTATTGAAAAAAAAAAAAAGAAGAAGTGGATGGTATGTAACGTATTATGGATGATGATGCAGTTTCACCATTGATACAACTACAAGCATAGATGCTTAATGTTTTTATCATTATATTTAAAGGGTCTTTTTCAGCTATCCTTTTTCTTCAGTCTACCCCTGATGAAAGACAATGTTCTGAAATGCGTCTGGTACTCTAACTGAAGATATACACTTCCCTTCTCATATTCAGAAGAAGGTTTTATTGTCATATCAAGCTTGCACTAGCTATTTCAGCCGCCTTATATTCATTGTTTTTTTTACCTATTGTGCTCTTTTGTGAAAAATAGATTTCTTTTAATATATGTAATAAAGTGATGTTATATTTACTTTAGTATGTTGCCTTAAAAGTCCCATTATTGATTTGGGGAAAATCCTTTCTGTGCTCGGAGAGAGGATGCCCAGAAAGTTGGAAGAAATTTTAATTCCACCAGAATGTGACATTCACATACAGTTGTGTCCAAAATTATTCAACCCCCAATGCTGTAAAGGGGTTTAGGGACTATAGTGTACATTTGGAATTGTATTCAGAATCAAATCCTACAAGGACGTTGTAACTACCCAAATGCAACTAAAATGACATCAATTGTTTATGTAATACAGTAGTAAATGGTTCTTATGTGGTTTCTTCATTGCCACAATTATTCAACCCCTTAAAGACTACCACTCTGAAGAACAGAGGTTCATACAGGTGCTTTCCATCAGGTATTGAAAACACCTGTGGATGTCACCGAGCAGCAATCAAGCATAATAAGCACCAATTAGGCAGCTTTAAAATGACTGTGATACTCAGCTCCTTCTAGACATTTACTGGTGTGGTTACAAACATGGTGAAGGCAAGAGAATGGTCCAGGAAGACAAGAGAAGAGGTGATTTCTCTTCACAGGAAGGGCAATGGCTATAAGAAGATTGCAAAGATGTTAAACATACCAAGAGACACCTTAGGAAGCATCATTCGCAAATTCAAGGCAAAGGGCACTGTTGAAACGCTACCTGGTCGTGGCAGAAAGAAGATGCTGACTTCGACTGCTGTGCGCTACCTGAAGCGTAGAGTGGAGAGAAGTCCCCGTGTGACTGCTGAGGAACTGAGAAAAGATTTGTCAGATGTGGGTACAGAAGTTTCAGCCCAGACAATAAGACGCACACTGCGTAATGAAGGCCTCCGTGCCAGAACTCCCAGGCGTACCCCCTTGCTGTCTCCAAAGAATAAGAAGAGTCGACTGCAGTATGCCAAAAGCCATGTGGACAAACCACAAAAGTTGTGGGATAGTGTTCTGTGGACTGATGAAACAAAATTAGAACTGTTTGGGCCCATGGATCAACGCTATGTTTGGAGGAGGAAGAACAAGGCCTATGATGAAAAGAACACCTTGCCTACTGTGAAGCATGGTGGAGGGTCAATCATGCTTTGGGGCTGTTTTGCTTCTGCAGGTACAGGGAAGCTTCAGCGTGTGCAAGGTACCATGAATTCTCTTCAGTACCAGGAGATATTGGATGGAAACGTGATGCAGTCCGTCACACACCTGAGGCTTGGGAGACGTTGGACCTTTCAACAGGACAATGATCCCAAGCATACCTCCAAGTCCACTAGAGCATGGTTGCAGAGGAAAGGCTGGAACATTTTGGAGTGGCCATCGCAGTCACCAGACTTAAATCCGATTGAGAACCTCTGGTGGGACTTAAAGAAAGCAGTTGCAGTGCGCAAGCCTAAGAATGTGACTGAACTGGAGGCCTTTGCCCATGAAGAATGGGCGAAGATACCCGTAGATCGCTGCAAGACACTTGTGTCAAGCTATGCTTCACGTTTAAAAGCTGTTATAACTGTAAAAGGATGCTGTACTAAGTACTAAGATTGAATGTCACTTGGGGGTTGAATAAAACTGATAATGCTGTGAGCACAGAAAAGACATTTGTGGTTATTTCATTATAACTGTTATGTTATATTTGTCTGACCTACAAGTGCCTCTTTAATGTAAATGTAAGCAAGATGACTGAATGATCAAAAGCAATGTCAAACTGGCCAAAACACTCAATTTCAGTGGGGGTTGAATAATTTTGGACACAACTGTAGAGTCTCCACCAGAGTGTGATGTTCATAATGAAACTCCACCAGAATGTGGCGTTCACATTGTGACTCCACCAGAATGTGACGTTCATATTGTGACTCCACCAGAATGTTACGTTCACATTGTGACTCCACCAAAATGTGATGTTCCCATTGTGACTCCACCAAAGTGTGATGTTCACATTGAGACTCCCGTTCACATTGAGACTCCCCCATAGTTTGATATTCATATTGAGACTCCACCATAGTGTGATATTCACATTGATACTCCACCAAAGTGTAACGTTCACAAAGAGACTCCACCAGAATGTGATGTTCACATTGAGACTCCAACAAAATGTGAAGTCAACATTGAGAATCCCCCCACTAAGACTCAGGAGATCATACCAATGGCTTTGGAAGGCTTCAACTTCCATCGCCTTCTCAGAGCGGGGGATTTTGCAAAGGTAAGTTACTGAATCTTTTTTATGATTTAAAATGTACAACCAAAAACTTATTTTATGTTCTGGATAGAGTGAGGAAAGACTAGTTCCTCTGTTGGGTTTTATCGCTGTCCAGAACTGCGTTGGAGAGATTTCCCTTCACTTCCTGTCCTGCTGAATATGATTTAATCAAACAGGAAGTGAGAGAAAACCTGCAACAAGGACAGAAATCCCCTCCCCCTATTCTACTGCCTGCCTGCCTGTGTTGCTGTTTACAGAGCTGGACACTTTAAAGCCCAATTTATCTTTCAATTTATGTTAGATAAATACATTCCATGTGCATCAAAACAAAAGGTGTTTCAAACATTTGTTTTTTCTATAGCAGCTAAAGCTAAAGTAGTAAAGCCTGCTCCCTGCTAGCATGCTGAAGAGCAGGGCACTTGCTCTTCGTTGTCATCTCCCCACAGATGTTCAACATATCCCCTGCTAAAGTTCTCCAATCAGCAAAGCTCATGTTCCATGACCTCTGTAGAGAGCCAACTGCTTCTACGCAGAGAGCTAGCAAGGGACACATTTTTCTATTCAGGCTGTGGCTGCACCTGGACTTCTAACTATATACACTGCTCAAAAAAAATAAAGGAACACTTTGATAACACATCAGATCTCAATGTGGAAACATATTATGCTGGATATCTATACTGATATGGATTGGTAATGTGTTAGGAATGTAAGGATGC